CGACGGGTATGGGGACGGGGATGGGGATGAGTTTTACTCGCGGGGACGGGGACGGGTATCATGAAACCCGTACCCGCCCCGCCCCGTTGCCATCCCTAACTAGGACGGTACACTTGTCTTCCAGTCCTGAGCTTGTAAGGCGAGAGGACTTAGTTGACCATGCATCGGATCAACACGTATGTAGGGAGATTAGACCGACTTCTAATCAAGTAGACCCATATAGAGAGGTTAGATCGGATTCTAACCGGGACGGTACAATAATATATTCACTTAAAAATGTAAAATAATTTTATACTATCAGCCAATCAAAATTTACACAAATAATAATTAAGTTTTTTGGCTTTTATTTATTTATTTTAAAAATCATTTAAATTGAAATTTTTAATTGTGTATAATATTTACTCCGTATTACCGTTATATAAACTCATCAAAATTTCTACTACTCGGAGAATATTTCATTTCTCTAGACCGTAGTGAAAAAAATTAAATAAAAAAGAAATAGTTTATTCATCATTTAATTTAAAGTAATGATGAATATATTTTATTTTCGCATTTTATACACTTAAAAAGGTCAATATCTTATATTGTAAATCCATAATCTTTAATTTGTTGGTCAGCTCGATCGTGGCCCGTGGGTATAAAATAAGCAATTAAGCACCAATTTCAGTTCATTGTGTGTATATATCATCGACAGAAATTTAATAAACACAAATCCGCAATATAATTTTGATTTACATCAATACATCATGTTTGGATAAAAACGCACATCAATGAATCTTTCTTTTATTCTAATACTATTTGTAATATCCGTACTGCGTAACCGAGTTCCGAACTTGGCACCATAACGCAAGCCGACATCGGACACGCACCGCGTGACATCAGCTCGGTACTTAAGCGAATCATAACTGATCCCCGAGGATCTCGCCCCGGACGAGGTCCGTTATCTAATCATATTACACCTCATCTCAGGCCCAAGGCCCAAAGCAACCCTAATTCACACCTAGGTACGTGCATTACTTATACGAGACTAATACTCACACAAACACTAACTTTAGCATCGGAGTCTCTTTTGCAGGTACTACCCCTATCTTGGAGCACCAACATACCAGTGAAGGAGGCTCACCGATCTTACCTGGCAAATCACCTCCACGGCAGATTTTCGGTAAGAACATTTGGCGCCCACCGTGGGGCCGATCAAGACAGCTCTTATCGGCCACCTGTATGGTTTTCACCAGAAGCCATAGTAGACGCACAACAGACAACGCAAACCACGCAACCACCATGGATAACGAAGCAGCGTTGAGGAGACTAATCGATCAGGTCGAACAGATGCGACAACAGCACGATGCTGACCTGCGCAATATGCGTGCTCAGCACGAAACCGACCTAGCGACGATGAGAATCGCCAATGAAGCGGACCTAGCGGCATTACGCGCCGAGAACGAGCGCATTCGCGCCCAACTCCCTCAACGCCCCTCTTATCACTCTCCTCACGAGAACAACATCCATGAAGACGAGGCACACTCGGCCTCTCAATCCCGGACCGCGACTAGGGCACCGACTTCACGACCCGCCACGCACCGATCTCATGCATCGACGCACAAGTCGGGCCCAGACGCCAGCAGAGCACCCACTCATGCCACAGAAGGCCAAGAAACCTTCCGCCGACATCCTTTTGTGGACGGCATCATGGAGACCCCACTCCCTCGTGGATGGAAACCTCTCCACCTCGACCGCTATGACGGCACGACGGACCCCGATGAGCACATTGACCTGTACACAACCCAGGTAAACCTCTACACTAACAGTGACGCTATCCTGTGTAGGGTTTTTCCGACCTCGCTCAAAGGAGCCGCACTCCACTGGTACACCCAGCTACCCGCCGGATCCATCGACAGTTTCAGCACCCTGGTCCGGCGATTCATGGCACAATACGCCACAAGCCGACCTCATCACACAACCTCGACCGCTTTGGCCAACCTCAGGCAGAATGACGATGAACCTCTACGAACCTTCATGGAACGCTTCTCCAGCATCTCGGTGCGGATTCGGAACTTGAACCCTGAGGTCGCCCTGCACTCCATGCTCATGGCCCTAAAAGCCGGCCACTTCGTCGAAAGCCTATGCCGAAACCCCCCTCGTGATATGGACGAGCTCCGCGCTCGCGCGGCCGGGTACATCCAGACGGAGGAACACTCCGCTTTCCGTGACCATGTTCGCGGAAAAGGTCCAGCAAAGTCAGAACAAGGGCATAAGGACAAAATAAAAGTCAACAACGACAGCCAGTTCAAGAAGTCAACTAGGGAAAACAGAGGAGGGAGATACGACTTCTACACTCCCCTAAACGCACCTAGAGTCCACATCCTGGAGGAAGCCAGCAACAGCAACCTGCTCGCCCTTCCACCACCAGGCCACACCCCCAACAGCGCCGACAAGTCCAAGCATTGCCGGTACCACAGGAACCATGGTCACACCACGGAGGAGTGTCGCACACTCAGGGATCGTATCGAAGAACTCATTCAGGCAGGCCCCCTCGGCCAATACGTCCAGTGACAGTAGGGTAACCGAGGCGGCTACAGCGGTCGGGGACGAGGCAGAGGCCGTAATTCGGGAGCTCGCACTGACCCACACCCGGGTCCCCAACAAAATACTAGCGGCGCAGTGCAAGCCGAGATAAGCCAAGAGACAGAGTCGGT